AAATAGAAGGGAGAGAAAGAGAGAGAAAGGGAGAGGGAGAAAGAGAAAGAGACAGGGAGGGAGAGAGAGAGAGTGAGAGAGAGAGAGAGAGAAAGAAAGAAAGAGTGGGAGAAAAAGAAATAGAAGGAGATAGAGAAAGAAAGAGATTTTACGTTTTGAAAAAGGATATTATAATTTTTTATATGTATTAAACTTTCACCTTAACTCGAGAAAATTGGATTCTCACCGCCTTCATATGAATGTTTCTGTGAGAAAGTGAGATAAAAATAATTCTGTGGAAACTACGTTCCACACACCAAACGCCCCTTAAGGTTCCTAGGAATGTAAAAACATTCCACACACCAAACGCCCCTTAAGGTTGAAGACATCCATAAATAGTCACCATTAAATTTCTATCAAATATCAAAGTTCATTTATCTTAAGCATCAATTTGTAATTATATATATTTTTATGTGTCATTCATTCACTCGATGTAGGACTTTAATTTTGAAAAATAATTAGAGATTGGAGAAGTATACTCTTTATGTGATATTTTTTTTACTTAATATGAGACTTTAATTTTGAAAAAAATTAGAAATAATAATATAGAGATAAAAATTTCTTCTATCTATAGTAACATTTTTCAAAAAAAATAAATGTTGCAAAATAACCTATTAACTCAATTTATAGCAATATTTTAATAAATATAAGTAGTTAAAGAAGTAGAATGTAGTAGTGAGTGGAAAAGATGAAGAGAATCGTGTGGGGTGTTGTACTTGAAAGCTAATAAAGTTTGTGAGGAAGGATTAATTAGTGATATGGAGGACAAGAAATACATTTAGCAAAGAGTAATGTGTTACAATCAAAGTGAGACTCAGGTCGGGATTGCCAATTTATGTAGTACCATGTGTAGTAGAACCCACGGTGGCTAAAATTATGAACTTCCTGTGAGGAGTGTGTTGAGGAGTTCATCCTCAAAGATTAGATGACCATAATTGGTACCCGAAGAGATTGTTGCATACAACATGATTTTCCTTAAAAGTATTGGCTCTGGATTGTGACAACAGTTTTCACATATCCAACTTAATAACCCTAACTAAGTACAAATAATCATCGGTTGGTGAGAGGTCGCCATTGTACCAAGGTGAGAGGTGTAGTATAGTCATATAATCTAAACTTGTGTAAGACTAAGTTTGTGGAGTTCTAGTGGCAACTGGCCAGTAGAAAAGAATTAAGAGGTTTTGTAATGAAAAGCATGTGGGGATTGAAAATGAATCAACTAGATTGTTAGCTTGTGTGTAAGACTTTGATTAAAGTTGTTGTTGCTTGACAAAACGAGGAGACTCACCTCTACATTTTATTTTCAAGACTAGATAGCAATACCAATGGACATTGTAGAGATATTTTTTCTTTACCTTCATCATCCTTGTATTAATTTCTTTTCTTCAAAGGTTTAGTTTCATATGTAGAAATTGGTTTAGCAATGACTACTAAGTCTAGGGCCATTTTCTTCTATGTATTTGATTTGGATAGACCTAGGTAGAGCTGTCAAAATGGGTCAGCCCGACCCATGTAGGCCGGCCCACTTTGGCCTACCTTAAAAATGGGCCAACCCAACCCGGCCCACTTTTGATTTTGTCAAAAATTTTCTAGCCCGACCTGGCCCACCACCAAACGGGCCAGCCCACCAACCCACCAAAAAATTAAAAAAAAAAAACCAACAAAATTTAAAATATATCATCAGTTATTGATATATTTTTTTTGTTTTTTTAGTTCTTAATTAGTTTTGTTAAAGCATCCATTATAATACTTGATGTAATTTTAATTTAGTTTTAATATAATATACATCATTCAACATAGGTAAAATTCATATACATCATTCATTATTGTTATGAAAGCATAGGTAAAAAACTAAAAATGCAAAATATATGGATTTCATTATTTGGGCTTACGTAACATTGGTAACAATGTGAAGGCTAATTCTATTTGAGCCCAAACCCAATCCATTATTAAAACTTAAAAGAACAAAACCCTACATAGTATACACGTAAGTGACAGTAACACACCCTATCAATCTCTCATCCCCAAAGCGGCAAAGCATGTTGTTGTAGACTTGCAGGCAACGAGAGAAAAGTTGAAGCGACCAAAGCAAAAGTAAAATAGGCACATAAAAACCAAGCGGAACCTACAGAGGGGGGCAGTAGGCGTGGAGGTGAAGCCGTGGAGGGCAATTTGTATTTTGTTCCTTGCTAGAATAGAGTTTTCAGTCTTTTGAGTTTTGACCGTTTTGTTTTGGAATTAGAGTATGGTGTGTGCGTGTCTTATTGTATTGTCTGTTGCAAGAAAAAAAAAATAGGTAGACTGATGGGCTACTCGGCCCACCACGGATTCAGCTCAAGTGAGCCGGGTTTAAATTTACCTACTTACTATAAATATTTCATTTATTTTGGCCCGGTCCAGCCCGTTTTTAAGGTGGGCCGAGTTGGTCCACGGGCCATAGCCTATTTTGACGGCCCTAGAACTATGCTTAAGAACTTTTGGCATATGTATATATGTAACCTTCTTTCTTTTTACTATATCTTTTTGGTTGGGGTTTATATATCACTCAACTAAGGAAAAATAGTTATCTTATTATACTCTGTATTTTATAAATATGTATAGGTATTGTAATAAAAATATTTCATTTATCTCGTCTCATCTTAATCTTTTTTTAAAACAAATACTTGAAAACGAGATAATACTACGCTTTACAATTTTGGAATTTTAAAATGAAAATTTTCATTTATTACCTGATGTTAACATTAGAACTAATAACTAATGTTCTTATTTTAAAATTCCATTTAAAATTGAAGTTTATATTCTCATAACTTTGCATAATTCATTAAAGAAAATGAAACATTCACGTGAGAAAAAATAAATAAATCAACTTTAAATATTGATCGTGTGTAAGTCTAGATTTTGGATGTCACAAAACTCCTTCAAGTATCAAATATATTTCAAATATTTTATTTATGCTCGAAATAAATCAAAACCTTTTGAGTGTAGGAAAAGTGTTTGTTAAGAATTATTCTTTGTGTTTTAAAAATATGAGATGCATCATTTTTTACCATTTCCAATATGAGCTTATGTCTATTAAAATGAGATAAAAGTTTTTCAATAGAGTGGAAGAAAAAAGTTGTGCATGCTATTTTAAAGAAAGATGAAGATTTAAAAAATAAGTCACTTGAGAAAACATTTCAAACTTTAAATTATTAATCAAATGGACTCACAACAGAAATTACTCAAGAAAAGGTGACATTTGGGCACAACAAACTTGAAGAGAATAAAGAAAATAAGATTTTAAAGCTTTTAAAATTTAGGAAAAATCCTTTTCTTTTTTGCTTATAAAAATTGCAACAATCATAGTCATGACTTTAGTCAACGAAAGAGAAAAAAATTTTGATTGACAAAATTTAATTAGAATTATTATACTTCTTCTTATCAATTCAATAAGTTTTATAAAAAAACTAAAATAATGTTAATAATGTTGTTGCAATATATGAAGGTCTTTCAAAATTGAATTAAGAAAATTGTAAATGTATCTTTAGATGATATAATTGGTATTAATTTATAATGTAAGTATGGATTTTTTTTTATGATGATAGATTTTTCTCAAATAAAATCTTTTTTCAAATATCAATTATAAAACTTGTGAAAAATTACAAATCACTAAACAAAGAAGATATTTAAGGATAGAGAAAAAAATCCCGGAGGCGTTTTTGTTGTTTACGCAAGAAGAAAAAAGTAAGAAAAAGACACCAAAGGAAAAAAGATGAAAAAATATAAGTTTTCAATGTACCGCCAATGTAAGAACAATCATGTTAAAATCTTTTGTTGATTTAAACTAAATACTAAATGCAACACATCCATATATTTAGTAATGTGAAGAAGATTTGTAAATAAGACATGCAATCAGTTTAGTCAGAAGAAAGTTTAAGCCGAGCATTAAATGTAGGGTATGTAATCAGATTACTGTACACATCTTGTCCATAGAGATCGTGAGAACATGTCATTCAACAGAAAAGGACAAAAACAGCCAACAAGTTTTTGCATCGATACACTACACGGAAAGTCTGAATGGAATAATTGCTATAGGGGTGAGCATTAAACCGACACCCGAACCGAACCCGAAAAACCCGAAAAAAAATATTGTTTTTGGGTGGGTTCGGGCGGGTCTTATGGGTAAATCGGGTTAAAATTTTGATTTTATACGGGTTATATTGGGCGGGTTCGGTTTTGAATTTTTAAACCCGCCAAAAACCGAACCCAACCGAAAATGAGATAAGTTTAAATTTTTATTACTTTTGTATAACTAAACAACAATGGTCCAAACTTAAAAGTCTTTATTTCAAGTATAATATAGCCATCAATTTGTAACTTATTTTTTTCCTTTTTCTCATAACTTAGATATTTATTTTGTCTTCTCCTTCCTCATTCAACTTCTCAACACACTAGTCCATTTTTAGAGTTATCTTTTTGCTTCTTTCTTTGTCTTTCTTTTCCATCTTCTTATCTCCATTTTGAGTACATTTTGTGTGACTGTGATTTCTTATGATTTTGTAATCTAACTTTATATTTCTTTTCCATGTAACAACTATGAATTTTGTTATCTTTTATTTTTGCTTCTTTAGTTTGTAAATGTTTCAACTACGAATCTACTTACACCATCTATTGTCACCTTCATTCTATTTTTATACACTATTTTAAAAATATTTTTTTATCGTTTTAAGCTTCATCTTCCTTAAGATAAATTGGTTTACAAAAAAATTCAAACCCGATTATACCCACCCGCTTAAATCCGAATCCGTTTCAACCCGAACTGCCTCAAATCGAAAGCTCAGTCGGTCGGATATGGGTCACATTTTTTCAAAGTCGGTTTACAATGGGTTGGACATTTTTTACCCGAACCCGACCAAACCCACCCGTTGCTCACCCCTAAATTGCTAATATTGTATGAATGAAATTTGCCAAAAGATAAAGTTTGCAGCTGTAGAAGCTACAAGAAAGCAGAGACAACAAGCAATAAACATAACCAAAATCCACATCCTTATCAGCACTTTCAGAACTCCTTACTGGTCTCTTGTCACCATGGATTCTAAAGTTCTTGATTTATTAGCCCTTATTATACCCTTTTTCCTCTTTGTGATTGTGGCACTGAAAATATGGAGGAATCTCAGTAAAACTGAGTCATCTACAAATGTACTCCCAGGACCATGGAAGCTACCTATTGTAGGAAACATACCCCATCTAATTACATCTACCCCACACAAAAAATTGAGAGAGCTAGCCAAAATATATGGACCCTTGATGCATATGCAACTTGGGGAGATTTTTACGATCATTGTTTCCTCACCAGAGTATGCTAAGGAGATAATGAAAACCCATGATGTCATCTTTGCATCAAGGCCTCACACTCTAGCTTCAGATATATTATCCTATGAATCCACAAATATCATTTCAGCACCCTATGGAAATTACTGGAGACAGCTACGCAAAATTTGTACAGTGGAGCTTTTCACCCAAAAACGTGTCAATTCATTCAACCAAATAAGAGAAGAGGAGCTCACCAATCTCGTCAAAATGATTGATTCACATAAAGGGTCGCCCGTAAACCTCACCGAAGCAGTACTTTTATCGATATACAATATCATTTCAAGAGCTGCTTTTGGCATGAAATGCAAAGGCAAAGAAGAATTCATATCACTCGTAAAAGAAGCTGTAATAGTTGCAACAGGCTTTACCATAGGAGATTTCTTTCCTTCTGCTAAATGGCTTCAATCTGTTACTGGTTTGAGGACTAAGCTTGAGAGGCTGCATCAACAAATGGATAGGATACTAGGAGACATCATCAATGAACATAAAGAGGCAAAGTCAAAGGCCAAAGAAGGCAATGGTGAAGCAGAGGAAGATTTGGTAGATGTACTCCTAAAATTCCAGGATGTTAGTGATTGTAACCAGGACATTTGCTTAACTATTAACAATATCAAGGCTATAATCCTGGTGAGAATAATAACATCTTTTAAATTCTTTCTTTTATGAAGATAATCTAACTCCTATATTAGACAAATGATTAATACTTGCTCCAGAATATATCTCATACATGATGTCTTCTAAATTGTGCAACATCTGATGATTTTCGTGTAGATTTATTGGTTGCCTTCTGCATATACTTTTTGAATTGGACTCCTTGTTTGAGCAAAGTTATAACTATTAATGTGAAAACCAACCGTTGATGCATATGAACAACTTCTTTGTTTGTTACACATGTGTACATTCACAATTCACTGTATACTCTAAAGTACACTTCTCACATTAGAAAAGTCAAATCCATGACTATCCCTTTAGGTTTCCTGATAATAACTTTGCAGGACGTCTTTGGTGCTGGAGGTGAGACATCTGCAACTACCATAAATTGGGCAATGGCAGAGATAATAAGGGATCCAGGAGTAATGAAGAAAGCACAAGTTGAGGTGAGAGAAGTTTTTGGTATGAAAGGAAGGGTTGATGAAAATTATATCAATGAGCTCAAATATTTGAAATTAGTTGTCAAAGAGACCCTAAGGTTACACCCACCAGCTCCTCTTTTACTTCCAAGAGAATGTAGACAAACATGTGAGCTTCATGGATATCATATACCAGTCAAAAGCAAGGTGATTGTGAATGCTTGGGCAATAGCAAGAGATCCAAACTATTGGACTGAAGCAGAGAGATTTTATCCAGAAAGATTCATTGACAGCTCTATAGACTACAAAGGGAATAATTTTGAGTACATTCCATTTGGTGCTGGAAGAAGAATATGCCCTGGAAGCAACTTGGGTTTAATAAATGTTGAGCTGGCACTTGCATTTTTGTTGTTTCACTTCGATTGGAAGCTTCCAAATGGAATGAAAAGTGAAGACTTGGACATGACCGAAGTATTTGGAGTGACTGTTAGAAGAAAAGATGACCTGTACTTGATACCTACCACTTCTCATCCTTTCCTGGTAAGATAAACCGTACAAGAAAAAGCTATAGCCTTTATATTTCATATTTGTTATTACCCATTTATTACTGAAAGAATCATTGTATCTTTGTTCAAATGTAAAGAAGGAGGTAAGTGTATGCACCAACAAAAATCTATATCAATCTAAAATGTTAAACAAGGGCAATAAACATATATGATGAACAAATCCATAATTAATTACCATTATCTACAATCTTGTGTGAGGATAGCAGATTAACAGAAAATCTGTTCACGTTTTTGTAGGAAATTGGTGCAGAGTGTGGGGAAGTAAGAAGTGAATTGAAGGCAAAGAAGGCTGAGTAAGATTCAGGTCCAGGATCAATAAGTCCCACAAGTTGATGAGATATCTTCGAGCTGATGCATAAACAGTTTATATGTTCCATTATTCCAACCTTCATGGATGATATATGCAATGAAACCAGTAATGAAGCAGAAATGTTGGAAGTACACAAATATATGCTAAATTTACAATTAGTGTTTTTCTTTGAGTAACTACTAGTGTCCCTCCCCAGGGATGCCTAGTCTTTTTAGTCTTAATTTTCAAAATATAGAAAAATTTAACATAACACAAAATGAAATCACATTTCTATTTTTCTCTAATTAATTATTTAATTAAGTGTGCTCGTATCCATAAATTAAATAATGTTTCCTTAATTTGCAAACACCAGATGATCTCAACGATTCAATTCCCAATGTTAGTTAAACTTAACAAAGTGATAAAGGAAAGGAGGATAACAATAGGTATTTTATACTTGTTCACCTCATCATGATACTATTTACAGTTCTTGGTATTTTATCATAAATTTCACTTACAGTCAACCATTGTAACAAATATTCTTTTTCTTCAAGCCTTTTTAGGCTCATAAAGAAGTAGTTTTTCTAATATGCCTCTTCATGCAAATACATAAAACTTCTTTCTTAGCAAAGCCTCTGCTGGGTTTCAACAATTTCACAAAGTAAGTTCAAGGGTAACTCAAAGGCTATTGTACCCATACAGATTTACAAGATATTAGCCTGAAGAATCAAAGAATGAATACACAAATTATAGATAATAAGAATGTTCACAGCTGAAAGATGTTCAAAGTGTTATCCAACTATTCTCTGGCTAGTCTTTACTTGATCTTTTATAAGAGATGAGAAAATGCTCGTTAGTTTTCTACAAAATTAGATCGTGGTGAATTAAATTATGATGAGATTATTTTATGGTATTTATTTCAGAAGATATTTTATGAGGATTATTTTTATAAGATTATTAAATACAAATTCACGATTATGAGAAATTGTCTATTTTGGGCCTAAGTCTTCACCGTTTTGCTTTTGATCATCACTCAAAAAACCTCTCTAATATTGGATTATGTGTATGTTTTATAAGTTATTATTTTTTCTCTTATTTTATTTTTGTTTATATTCCAACATATTGTATAATAAATTCTTGGTCTTTTGCATTTTCTTTTTATTTTTTTATTTTTGTCTTAATGCAATACTTCATGTGGATTTTTCCTCTTTTCTAATACAGGCAAGCTACTTTTACTGCATTGTTTTCTTGTCGCGTAGCTTCTGTCCTTGTTATGCGATTTGCAACATCCAAGCTAGAGTTAGACTTTTTTAATCTGTTTCTTTTAAACTTATGTGTATATTTTTTATTAAGCTTCTGAAATATGCCTGTTTATTCAAAAAGTCTTTCAAATGAAATCTTTTAAGATACAAGTCTTTGACTTTTTCTCATACGATACTGTCAAAAAAAAAAAAACTTTTTTCTCATAGGATGATAAGACATGATTTTAAATAATGATAAAGACCGTTTGCAATAATTGTTGCTTTATATAATTTTTTTTTTATTTTTCCTATTTTTCATCGTCAGGAATTATTGAAATAGAACTAGTGAATGATTGTGTTCAACGAATAAATCCAATTAACTGTTTTGTGGTTTGGTTACCGTCTTACCGATGGAAGAAATCATGGCGATTGAAAAATAAAAAATATAGACTTTTGTTTTTCAAAATTTCAGATTGTGGTTGTGCCTTTGGGAGCTATAAACAGCAGTAAACTCCTAATTGTGGAGATTTAAAATAAAATAAATAAAAAGAAAAAAACTGTTTCTTCCGTTTTAATTCATGATAAAGAGCATTATGTGATGATATGAAGTAAACAACAGTGTCATGTATCTCAAGCCAAACGCTTAAGTAATGAACAAACAATAATATATCTATAGAGAGGAGAGGAAGGGTCCAATTAGGGAAAGCTTAAGCTAAATTGTTGTGTGTTGATATATAAAAGTTGTAATAATTATTTACACGATAATGAACTACACAAAATGTTTTTTAATAATCAAGGATCAGAAAGCAAGTAGCAATTGCATTCCAACTTGCTTTGACGGGTTCAAGTGTGTTTGATTAAGCAGAAGTAGCAAGTGCAACATTACTTATTTTATTGCCAATAGAGGATTTGGTGAAAAGTAAGAGCTAACAAGACAAATTCTGCTTCTACCTCTAAGTTTAATACTTAGTATATTTATGATACCAACTAAGGCTAAGAAAAAGGGAAAAGAACATCAGATAAAACTGCTTTTATTCAAAGTTTAGTTTTCATTGCAAATAACAATATTTAAAAGAAAACCAAACAATTACATCGATTGATCCATCTTTACAATCATAAAAATGGAAGACATGTTCTACAACAAGCTCTTATCATTCTATGCTAAAGTGTATTACAAAATATATAGATGACAATTTATTCTAGTTCAGGTAGAGATTCAAGTTGTCCACGATAATTTCTCAGTTGAGAGCCATGGGAAGGCAGCTCTTGCAAACATGTTGAGTGATGCTAACTTCTAACTGTTCACACTGTTTCAAAGCTTCTTGTGCTTTGATTTCTTCACTAAACAATTTAAGGGCATCTGTTGTTGACAGAGAATGCACGGATTCATACAGCCCTTGAAACTCATTCCTTTTTTCTTGTGTGGAAGATGAGAAAAAGCACTTCACAGGAATCAAATAGCCAAAAAGGAAATTTAAAACAACAAATAGTGAACCAGTAACGGTCCTGTGCAGAATGAAGAATGAAATTAATAGCTAATCACATTATATAAGTAAAATTTCAGAAACTTAAAACAAAATAAATTAATTCTAGAATGTCAAAACACCGTATGGAATTGGTCATGCCTTCTCTTCCACTCCCTGTCCAAATCCGAATTGGATTTTGGACTCCCATCATCTTATATGAAGAATAGGTCCAAACGTTATCCTATGTGAATAATAGGTACAAAAATCTCCAAGCTTGACTGCCCCACTTACATCAACCAGTACAAGACATCAGATGTCCCTTTAAAATTGAATAGTTGGATGAAAGTTGAATTGTTCATAATGTAATTTTCAGAAGTTAATTTCCATGTTATTTTCACAATTTAATAGGAAATCTGTTCAAGTAATATGTCACTATTAATAAAAATATATATAGCTAGGTGACCATGTTTGCATCAAAGACAACAAGAGCAAATGTCTATATGCAAGGAATTTTTATTCCAGGAGGGGCACAATTTTAGATACATTGAGGTAAGTAAAAGCAAACCTGTTCCTAGACACATTTTCCCCACTCAACCCCTGAACATTTACATGAGAAGCATTGCAGGGTCAATTTTCTACATGATGATGCTTCAGAAAGAACCAACACTTCTGCTGGGTCAAAAGCCACAGATTTTACTGAACTAGTGTGACCACACAAACTCTGCATATATTTAGAGTAAGATAGCACAGTTAGGTTCAAAGCTATGCATGGCTATGCTGCCTAGTGCACATTGCCCATGCTTCAAAACAGCTCTTGCATAAAGGCATGTTGGAGATATAGAACCATTAATGAGCCTTCTTTAGCTAGTAATTTAAGCCTTTACGAGAGTGATTCTTAATATGTATGGCAATTGAAAGATTCAAAATTCACATAGCATAAATGGAATGCAATGAAGTCAGATTTCAAACATACTAAATTCCCAAGGAGCATGGATTCCAAGCATGCCATCAATAAGAAGCATGGAAAATACTATTAAGTGCTGTCAGCAATTGATGTACCTGTCGCTGGTGCCGCCCACTTTGACATTTTGTATGTGTCATGTGGTGCTCGTCGTGATGGTGATGCTCACTGATGTCCCCCTCAACTTCCTGGTCAGAGTTGTGTTAGTGACCATTAATAAATTAATATAGTTGTTTATTATATAATTTATTTTATTTACTTAATTAATTTAATGAGCTCAGCTTTTAAGATAAGTTTTGGTCGATTTTAAAAAGTAAAATAAATATATTGGGTTAAGTGTGTTGGATCAGTGGCTTTGGTTGCGAAAACTTGACCAAGTGTAGACTTAAAGAATGAAATAGAAGGACCCACAGCCACACATATTTGATAGAATATTTTATATTTACATTTTGTAAAGATATAATTTTTATTAAAAAAATTATAATTTAATTTTATTCATGAGGTCTTTATTTATAAAAAAATAATATTATATAAAATTAAATATTGATATTATTTTATTATAAAAAAATAAAATAAATTCTAAAATAATTAAAATAGATTAAATTTAAATATTTGAAATATAAATAAAATATTTTTATTAAAAACTAATTTATTCTTCTAAAGATATTTATGTATATTTCTAATACTCTTTGACTGATCTATCACCTAGTTTAAATTTGAATTTCAAAATTTGACTTTTCTCTTTTTGATTGATTTCTTCTTTTTGTAATTTTTGTTGTAATCTTTCTTGAGTAGGATTACTTTAGCGTTTGTCTCGAACTTCTCTTTTGAAGGTAGTTTTTCATCATCTTCATTCTTCTCTTTATCATCAAACTTCTTTTTAAAACATATGCATCTTTTTTCTCTTCACTTGTGTCTTCATTTGTAATTTTTTCCACCTTCTCCAAATTTAAAGCAAAACTCTTGTCTTTAATATGAACATTGAACACTTCTTTGTTGTTTATATCTTTAATAACACAATTTTTATCTTCAAGTAACACTTTATAGCCTTTTTTCAACAACTGAGCAACACTCAATAAATCTTGATTAATATCAAGAATGTATAAAACATCAGATATTAATTTAAACTTGAATGATTTTTAATAACAAATGTTCCTTTGCCTTTTATTGTAAGGTGTGCTTCATTCCCCATTTGTATTTTAGAGATATCAATTTTGTTGAGTTATTTGAAGAGTTCTCGGTCATAAGTCATATGGTTTTTACAACCACTATCAATGATCCAAGCTTTTGAGGGTTTTTTTGGTCATAAAGCATGCATTGAAAGTAGTTATTCCTCTTCTTGTTGATATTCAACAATGTTGACTTCTTCTTGTTGCTGATGAGATTTGCATACATATTTTAGGTGTCTTAATTGTCCGCAATTGTTACATTTTGAATTAGGTCTCGACCAACATATTTGTTGTGGATGATTAGTCTTTCTACAATAAGGACATGGTGGAAAAATTTGAGTGTTATTATTTTGATTGTTCTCTTGGAACAATTCCTTCTTCTTATTTTTGTCACCATTGTTGTTCTTCCATTTGACTAAATATACACCCTCCAT